GGGGGAGGTGCGCCTGCCGGTGAACGAGGAGACTCTCTTCCAGAAAGCCACCAAGATTGGCCGATCCCTCGAGGGCGGCTTCAAGATCTCCTACGAGTGGGCAGTGAGGTTCATGCTGCGGCACCACCTCAGCACGCACACTCGAAGGGCAGTGGCTCACCCGCTCCCCAAAGACGTGGAGGACAACGCCAGTTGCTTCATCGAGTTTGTGCAGCGGCAGATCCACACGCAGGACCTGCCTCTCTCCCTGATCGCCGCCATCGACGAGATCTCTCTGTTCCTCGACGTGGAGGTGCTGAGCAGCGATGACCGGAAGGAGAATGCTCTGCAGACGGTGGGAACCGGGGAGCCCTGGTGCGACGTGGTCCTCACGATCCTCGCCGACGGGAGCGTTCTCCCGACGCTGGTCTTCTACAGGGGTCACGTGCAGCAACCCGCCAACGTGCCGGAGTCGATCGTGTTGGAAGCAAAGGAGAACGGATACAGCGATGATGAAGTCATGGAGTTGTGGTCGTCCAGAGTGTGGCAGAAGCACACGGAGTGCCAGAACAGCAAGGGCATGCTGGTGCTGGACTGTCACCGAACACACCTCTCCGAGGAAGTACTTTCCTTGCTGAGCGCTTCCAGCACGCTGCCGGCTGTTGTCCCCGCCGGCTGCAGCTCCAAAATCCAACCTCTGGATGTTTGTATAAAAAGAACTGTGAAAAATTTCTTGCATAAAAAGTGGAAAGAGCAAGCCAAGGAGATGGCGGACTCCACGTGCGACTCGGACATTCTTCTGCAGCTGGTTTTGTGCTGGCTGGCAGAGGTGCTGGAGGTCATCAGTGACTCTCCTGAACTGGTGCAGCAGTCCTTCCTGGTGGCCAGCGTGCTGCCGGGGCCGGACGGCACGGCCAACTCCCCCACCCGCAACGCTGACATGCAGGAGGAGCTCATCACCGCGCTGGAGGAGCAGCTGAAGCTGAGCGACGAGCCCCAGCCCCAGGCCCAAGCCCAGGCCGAGGAACCTGCAGACCCGGACATCCTCCACCAGCTCTTCGAAGGGGAGAGCGAGACTGAGTCCTTCTATGGCTTCGAAGATGCTGACTTGGATCTGATGGAGATGTGAGCACTGTTCTGCCCGGCGCGATCCAGAAAGGGGTATTTTTTAAATAAATGTTGGATGAGACCATTACACTTCCCTGTGGATTTGTGGGTTTAGGAAATTCGTAGGCGATCACTCAGATAAATAGCCATTTATGCTGTTCATTTATAAGTTTTGTGCTTTTTTAAAAGGAAAATCACTGTGTTGGTATTTTCTGAAAATATATTGTGGGTGAATATTTTTGCGTTTTCTTTACCTCACTGTATCATAGTTTCTGTTTTTATTGTGCAGAAATGTTTTGAATTATACATTGTCAATGTGACCATTTCTAAAGAAAGGAGGAAAAACAAATATGTAGCTAATGAACCAGTATATAAATCTTTTGGGTTGTCTTAACACAGATATTCTTTTCTTTTTAACACTTGACCCAGAGGTTGAGGTTTCTGTGGAAAAATTAGACCTTGAGTTACTGCTCTACTGTGTGAACCTGCTCTAATTGGCCATTGAGATTTGGGTTTGGTTTGGGTTTTCTGTTTCCTTTTTCTTTTTTCCTTCAAGAAATTCTTTTGCTTGTGAATTTGGACGTGGGGTTGAAACACAAGAGAAAGCGTTGGCCTGGCCACGACAGGGCCGCGGGGCTGGTGCTGCCCCCGAGGGCGCGCTCTGCGGTGACTCCAGGCGGTGCAGTGGTTCCCCCCTGCCTTGCTCCAAAGAATCACTGACAGAGGGTACATGGTGGAAGAGGAAAGTCAAGTCTGTCTTGACCTTCCTGTGCAGTAGGTGGGAGTTAAAACCATACGGACCATTAAAGGTTGACCTTTAACTACTTGTAGTCGATAAACCTGCTTTAACCGGTGGCATCAGACACTACGTTCCTTAGAATTAGAAATCCCATTTGATGAAACAAACTGTGACATGCACAAAAAGAAGACGTTTGTTTTTATTTTTCACTGCCAGCTTAAATTTTTCTACAATTTGCATGTTTGAGGGTTTTTTAATTGTATGTATTATGGTATAAACGGAAAGCATTTTGACATACAGAATTCAGAAGCACCTGCACCTTTCTGTTTCCATAGAGGTTTTGTGAACCTTCCCCATGACCCAAGGAAAGCAGGAGGCAGCATGTGCAGACCTGTAAATGGTTCATCTTTAAAATGTACATAAGTGGAACATTTAATAAAACCAGGGAAATGGATTTATAAACATGTGTTTTTATTATGAAGAACTATTTAACTCTTGTGCTATCGTAATGCTTAATATAAAAGTGCATCGCGGATCCTCGGCGCGAGCCGGGCCCCTCCGTGCTCCGCACGAGAGGCGGCGCGGGGTCGCTGAGCATGTCCTGAGGAAAGCCAGCGGTGGGTGGTTGGTCATTCAGTGTGTTTACATGTCATTAACACTCGAGGCAGAGCTCTGTCCCATTTCACTTCGCAGCCCCTGCCTGCCCTGGCCTCTGCGGTGGGGGCGATGGAACAACCTGCTCTCCCCAATGAGGTTTGGTTTTTAAATAAAAGTCTGAAAAATCATGAATAAAATCCTCTCCTGAGTAAGTATTTGTGTTGTTTCTCTCGGGTGGTAGGGGTTGAAGCAGGGATGTTGGCGTTAGTCTCCCTTGTTAGAGAACACGCTGAAGGACCTGACATCAACTGCCCCGTTTGTGCTGTCACCCACAGGGGGCGCTGGCCTGGGGCTGCGTGGGGACAGCCAAACCCACCTGCAGCAGGGGGCACAGCACGGGCCCTTCTCCTCTCCTGGGGGTACATCTTAACCCTGACTTGTGTATTTAAACCAAGATCCAGCCAGCAAGTACCAGCCAAGCCCAGCGCTAATCCCAGTCCCACAGGGAAACGCTTCAGCGATCCAAACCTGCCCCTCGCAAACGTTCCTGAAGCAGATCCGTGGGGAAAGCGGCCCATACACGCGCTGGCACTGGGCCTGCCGGATCGGATATGGGCAGAGGATGGTGCTGGAACCCATCAGGAAACAACAAAAGCCTTTTGCTCTTTTTTCTGCCCTTCTCCAGCAGAAACAAGGACTCGTGGCCGCCACGAACCTTCACCTCGCGGTACCAGGAGACTTTCTGAGGTCAGTATTTTGGGAGCATCCCACAAACTGGATCCCGACCGTAGCACAGACACAAAACCTCGTCTTAACAGGTTTATTTCATTTCCAAAACAAGCCAGATCGGAGCTTTGAAAGGAGCAACAGATTTACAGCACATACAAAGGGTGGTAACGTGGACACGGCGGCCTGGGCAGCTCCCCGGGATCACTCGATGCCACTGCAAGAAGAGGTCTGGTAAGGGCAGGGTGGCACCAGCTGCACTAACACCATCAGCACTTCTGCTTCTAGGGTGCTGCCAGTCCGTGACACGGGTTTTGGGGAAGCACAAAGGCAGCAAAGCCTTGGTGCACCCACAAACCCACCCCATCCCAAGGGACTCAGCTGGAGCAGAGGCATTACATGCCCTTATCCCATCTATTTTGGGCCAACTTGAGACCGGCGCTCGCGGGCGTGTTACCTGACGAGGTGAGCTATGTCCCAGTTGGCTTCCAGGGTCAGGGGTCCTTCCACCTCCACACCTTTCTCCGTTGCAATAGCTATTTCATACTAAGGAGAGAAAACAGCAGCAGCTCTCAATAAAGCCTGAATTCCATGCCCAGATCCCAGCCAGGCTCTGGGAAACCTCTGACCAGGAAAGAGTCATTAAACAAGTTGCTATTAACAGGGCTTTGCATTCAGTAACGTTCTACTTGTTCCTGGGTGAGCACACGGGGGGGAGTCAATAGTAGAAGCAGACAGAAACGCTTCCAACGCTAAAAGATTGCAACCTCTGGGTGCTACAACTGCAGCCACGGGAGGAGAGTCGCCAGGTTTGAGTGGATGCCAGGGCTGAGCATCCCTCAAAGAGCTCTCGGGAGCCTGGACCTCACGGTACCCACTGCTGCCAGCTCGGGGTCGCTGCAGGGCCGAGGCCACGCACTCACCCTGTTGAAGGATCGAGCGTCTCTGTAGTACAGGATCTTCATGCAACGCTCGATCAGGTCACGGGCCTCCTGCTGCGTCAGGCTGGATTTCTTCTCCAGGACCTCTCTCATCAGCGGCTGCGGGGAGAAG